TGGGAAAATTTGGTATTATGGCCAGATTGAAACAAATAAAAATATTCCATAAACAATAGGTCCAGAATTTAACAACAGCATGCTGACTAAACAACATTTCATACGTTTATTTGAACATTTTCAATTAAAAAAATTCCCAAATTTTGATTTTTATTCACACAAAATTTTTTAAACCCAAAAACAAAAATTACTCTTATGCAGTATATTACTTCCATTCTATCAAATGAGACCAAGAAATTGCAAATATGTACAACAATGAAAAACATACAAAAAACACCGGTGTCATTGTTTTAATCCAAAATTACGGACTCGGTTTTTTTCTCTCATTATGCACTGTGTGCTGCAGGATTTGTTTTATGTGGTGCACACTTACCACATAGATGCATTCTCTCATATCTAGGCCCAAATTTACCACTCACAGCTTATCTGAGTGAGCTGAGCTCATGGCATAGAACTACAGTTTGGACCCAGAACTCAAAGCCTTAAACTACGGCACGGACCCTGAAAGGGTTAAGAGAAAGTGATTATGGAACAGATGTTTAACAAAATAGGAAAGGACCTAAAAAGGTAGGGGCCAGAGTTGAAATGGCCACAAAGGGCAGCATTTGCTTTGCACACATAAGAAAGTAACAGAGAGTGTGCTTGCAAAGCCCATGATATCTACATAAAGACTGTATTCACTGCTGGAGCCAACCAATATGGCAAGATTCATGAGGACTGTCATGTGCTAAGCACATAAGAAAACTACCTAGTGGAGTAGCTGGTTCTATGTGATGCCAGGCCCACACTGAGGTCCCACAGATGAATGTCATCAAACCTGCCCGACAGATGCTGTGGTTATCACATGTCCAGCTTGGCAAGCAAAGCTATTCATCAGAAGAAGATGGACAGTATGAACTGCTGAAAATACGTACAAAGAATTAACTATAGTGGACAGGTGCCCATCCAATCAAGCTGGAAGCTGAGAATCAGTCTGTGAAAAGAATTGAGGACATGTCTTAATACACCAGTTTAATACGATGAACACTGGATATGGTAGGTTGTGCTGCTTCAGACTTCTACCTCCACACATTCACTCTCTGGTGAGTCACTTGACCAGGGAAAGAGTTAGAGGCTACAAGATTTTATAGGTAGAAATAGACATGGTATATTTTAATATTGATCTCCCACTGTCTCAAAACAAATACCATTACACTAGCTTATTGAAATTAGTAGTAATTTTTACTTAATTTTTCTAATTATTTTATGATCTTTTCTGTGCTATCAAATTAGCCATTTGTGGCTGTCTTTACTTATACAGTGTGGACAGTATGCATTCTTCCTCTTCACAGAGACTGTATGATGACATTATTTGCACAGAATATTATGACTTTTTTTAGACAAGGAAAAAAGAAAGAGTACTCTTGTAAAATAACACATGGAGTTAATAATCTCTGGCTTTATAGACAGTGCTGTGTTGTGTGTGTGTGTTGTGTGTGTGTGTGTGTGTGTGTGTGTGTGTGTGTGTGTGTGTGTTGTGTTGTTGTTTGTGTGTGTTGTATGTATTATGTATGTATGTATATATTATATATGTATGTATATATATGTATGTATGTATGTATTATATTATATATGTATTATATATATATTATTTATATATATTGTATATGTATGTATTATATATTTATATGTTTTCTTTCCCATGTATGTATACATAATAAGTAAATATAGAATTCTATTTATATATATATATATATAATAAAATATATATACTAATTATACATAGAATAATATCACATTTTATATATTGTATGATATTATAATATATATATAATATATATATATTATATTATATATATATATATATATAAATATATATATATATATATATATTATAATATATATAATACATGCATTATTATTATGTAAGAGATTTTAACCATCCAATTGATTTTCTTAAAGTGAGAAGTAGTAATCAAGCAAGTCCATGGTTCGACAGGAATATCATTGAATCTTGTTGCATAAAAACAGTTTATGACAATATTATGAAATATTTCCTTTGGCTTATTAATAGATCCATTTATAATTAATAGAATTTGGGAAGAATTTAATAATACACTGGACAAATAATAATTTTTTTAAATTTTTGTTGGGTAGAATAGTTTGTTGGTGGGTTGTGCCAAGGACTTGTCCAGTTGGGCCGGCGCGCGTCAGGTGTTTAACTGTTGTGGGATCTGATAGTGAGGTGTTGGCCAGACCCCTTATATACCTTCCTTGGGTGCTTTACTTTCATAGTTCCTTGATAATGTGAGTAGTCATGAAAGCGCTTAGAATTTCTCTATTCTTTCACAGTGGTTGTTTTGCATATACATGTATATATTATATATTATATATATATATATAATATATATATATATATATATATATAATATATATATATATATATATATATATATATACACAGTGGACCCCGACTAACGATCAGCTCCCAACTTGACCAATTATGTAAGTGTATTTTTGTAAGTGCTTTTGTAGGTGTATTTTTGGGGGTCTGAAACGGACTAATCTAGTTCACAATATTCCTTATGGGAACAAATTCGGTCTATAACGGCACCCGATCAGACTTCTGGATTGAAATAATATCGTTAGTCGGGGGTCCACTGTATAATGTATAAGGGAAAAAAGGTGAGTGGTGCGTTGAAGTATATGTGGAGACAAAAAAACGTTATCTATGGAGGCAATGCAGGGAATGTATGAAAGTATAGTAGTACCAACACTCTTATATGGGTGTGAAGCTTGGGTCGTAAATCCTGCAGCGAAGAGGCGGTTGGAGGCAGTGGAGATGTCCTGTCTAAGGGCAATGTGTGGTGTAAATATTATGCAGAAAATTTGGAGTATGGAAATTAGGAGATGTGGAATTAATAAAAGTATTAGTCAGAGGGCTGAAGAGGGTTTGTTGAGGTGGTTTGGTCATTTAGAGAGAATGGATCAGAGTAGAATGACATGGAGAGCACTTAAATCTGTAGGGGAAGGAAGGCAGGGTAGGTGTCATCCTCGAAAAGGTTGGAAGGAAGGGGTAAGGAAGGTTTTGTGGGTGAGGGGCTTGGACTTCCAGCAGGCGTGCGTGAGCGTGTTCAATAGGAGTGAATGGAGAGGAATGGTATTTGGGACCTGACGATCTGTTGGAGTGTGAGCAGGGTAATATTTAGTGAAGGGATTCAGGGAAACTGGTTATTTTTATATAGCCGGACTTGAGTCCTGGAAATGGGAAGTACAGTGCCTACACTCTAAAGGAGGGGTTCGGGATATTGGCAATTTGGATGGATATGTTGTGTATCTTTATACATATATATATATACATATATATATATACATATATACTGGATAGGGGGGCAATGTGGCAGATGTTGCAAGTGTATGGTGTAGGAGGTAGGTTACTGAAAGCAGTGAAGAGTTTTTACGAGGATAGTGAGGCTCAAGTTAGAGTATGTAGGAAAGAGGGAATTTTTTTCCCAGTAAAAGTAGGCCTTAGACAAGGATGTGTGATGTCACCGTGGTTGTTTAATATATTTGTAGATGGGGTTGTAAGAGAAGTAAATGCGAGGGTCTTGGCAAGAGGCGTGGAGTTAAAAGATAAAGAATCACACACAAAGTGGGAGTTGTCACAGCTGCTCTTTGCTGATGACACTGTGCTCTTGGGAGATTCTGAAGAGAAGTTGCAGAGATTGGTGGATGAATTTGGTAGGGTGTGCAAAAGAAGAAAATTAAAGGTGAATACAGGAAAGAGTAAGGTTATGAGGATAACAAAAAGATTAGGTGATGAAAGATTGGATATCAGATTGGAGGGAGAGAGTATGGAGGAGGTGAACGTATTCAGATATTTGGGAGTGGACGTGTCAGCGGATGGGTCTATGAAAGATGAGGTGAATCATAGAATTGATGAGGGAAAAAGAGTGAGTGGTGCACTTAGGAGTCTGTGGAGACAAAGAACTTTGTCCTTGGAGGCAAAGAGGGGAATGTATGAGAGTATAGTTTTACCAACGCTCTTATATGGGTGTGAAGCGTGGGTGATGAATGTTGCAGCGAGGAGAAGGCTGGAGGCAGTGGAGATGTCATGTCTGAGGGCAATGTGTGGTGTGAATATAATGCAGAGAATTCGTAGTTTGGAAGTTAGGAGGAGGTGCGGGATTACCAAAACTGTTGTCCAGAGGGCTGAGGAAGGGTTGTCGAGGTGGTTCGGACATGTAGAGAGAATGGAGCGAAACAGAATGACTTCAAGAGTGTATCAGTCTGTAGTGGAAGGAAGGCGGGGTAGGGGTCGGCCTAGGAAAGGTTGGAGGGAGGGGGTAAAGGAGGTTTTGTGTGTGAGGGGCTTGGACTTCCAGCAGGCATGCATGAGCGTGTTTGATAGGAGTGAATGGAGACAAATGGTTTTTAATACTTGATGTGCTGTTGGATGTGAGCAAAGTAACATTTATGAAGGGATTCAGGGAAACCGGCAGGCCGGACTTGAGTTCTGGAGATGGAAGTACAGTGCCTGCACTCTGAAGGAGGGGTGTAATGTTGCAGTTTAAAAACTGTAGTGTAAAGCACCCTTCTGGCAAGACAGTGATGGAGTGAATGATGTGAAAGTTTTTCTTTTTCGGGCCACCTGCCTTGGTGGGAATCGGCCAGTGTGATAATAATAATAATAATAATATATATATATAAAATATATATATATATATATATTATATTATATATATATATATATATATATATATGTATATGTATATATATTTTATATATATATATAGACACAGTATAAATTTTATTTATTTATTAATAGATTTAAAATTAATATTGAAAATTACAGATTACAGTACAATACAAATTATAGGGTATGACAAAATGTTCAAAAAGTTTAAATTTAGTATGTACTCTTTTTTTTAATAATAATTATTAACACATGTACATACTAACCCTAAATTTTAACTGACATGGTAGTATAACATTCACCAAATTTTTTCTCTTCTTGGCAGTCACAAGGTCGATTGTATGAGGTTGAGAAGGTAAGACTTTGAAGGTTGCATGGGAAGCTCTATATTGTACTGCAGTGTACCATACCCTCTGTAGTGAATGTGCTGCAGTGTGCCATACCCTCTGTAGTAAATGTGCTGCAGTGTACCATACCCTCTGTAGTGAATGTGCTGCAGTGTGCCATACCCTTTGTAGTGAATGTACAGTAGGGCCCTACTTTACGGTGTTCCGATAATAGAGACATTTCAAATTATGACCAAAATTTGCTATATGGCTCCCCCCACCTGATTTTCTAATATGGCCACTGCGCCCCACCCGGTTTGTTTACATTCTCTGTGAGCACAACTCTCCATCATGTTTGAAACTTTCCAAAATTTCAAGTGTTTTAAAATTATTTTATATTTTATATATACTCTGATAATTATACTTATGTGTAACTTTACACACTATGCTGGCATGCAGGTACACATTAAAATCACTAAGGGTGTCTTATTAGTCTCAAAGACACCATATTAATAATGATAATAACAATAACACACAGTAATAATCACTCTGTGGCGCATTAAATGTCATATAAAACGTTAATATGGACATTTTGTTTAATCCATTTACAATATTTTTTCAAAATTGTATAAGAAAAATGCTATGTAACATATATACATGATAAATACACCCACAGTAGAATAAATTAACATAAATATGATATTTTTCCAGTCGTCTTGTCGGAATGTTGGAAAGAATAACGTTTTCTCTAGTCCAACACCAAAGTAAATGTGTACACAATAGCATTGCTGGGGGTAACTGTATAACATTATTCCTTTTGTATGCCTTCACTCAGAGTGTCATTCCTTTTAAAAATGGTGTGTTACATTAGAACGGAAATGTTGTTCTTTATTTATTATACTGTACCAACTTGGAGACAACTTGTACACAATGTAAGGTGTTTGTATTATGATATAAGCTCTACAAATATGCAAATGAATATGTATCAACTCACCAAATGCGTTCATCTGTTTGTTTATATACTCTGCAGCTCTGTCCTCTCTCATTTACTCGTTCTCTCTCTCTCTCTTGTTTATTCGTTTTTTTCTTGTTTACTCACCTCTGACTCTACATTAAGACTACAAATATTTTAAGGTAAGTAATGAGTGTACTGTATATGCATTTTATCACTCTAGGGAGGTTTAAAAGTCATAGCATATTATGTGTGGGTGAGTTAGTCAGGTGGGCTACCATACTTACCACACCTGACTTCTTACAGTAAACAGTTCTCACTTCTCACCCTACATTAAGACTACAAATATTTTGAGGTGAGTAATGAGTGTACTGTGTGCGTATTTTACTTTTTATTGTTTTTTAATGCCTAGATCTATTGGTAACTTAATGCGTATGCTAGTGTAAACTTATTATTATAAGTGGTAACAAATGGCGCTCTGCTTTCCGATGATGTCCACTTTGCAGCGGTAGTGTGGAACCTAACCTTCCGTATAAGTGGAGCCCTACTGTACCGCAGTGTGCCATACCCTCTATAGTGAATGTACTGCAGTATGCCATACTCTCTGTAGGGAATGTACTGAAGTGTACCATACCCTTTGTAATGAATGGACATTGATGTGAATAACGCATGGGATGCAGGCTATCACATTTAGGTGATGTGTTGTCTAAATCAGTGGAAGAAGCGCCTTCTAAATCAGTGCCATAAACCACATATTATATCTTATTTACATGTTGTTGTACATATTAATATACCTAAATGAATATTTGTCATTAGTCTTGTAAGTATTTTCTGACATCAAATAGCTTAGTTTTCTTTGTGACTTGATATGACTTGAGAGGGAATGTGTTGAAGCTTGTTTATGAACCAAAGTGATTCCCATGCTCGAATATGAATATAATCACATATGACGAGGACTTAAACAACACTAAAAAGAGTTCACACACTGGGAAGGAAAATGAAAGTCTTTATTTCTTTAGTAGCTTACTTAGAATTTACAAAGGATGGGTTTCCAGTTTGTGTAGTTGTATTTTTCATACAATTATGATGAAATGCAGTTTACATTCCCTGGAATTAATAGACTTGTCTGTAATCTGAAGTACGTACTGTATTTATTCAGTTGCATAAAAGACATTTTTATTATAAAATAAATACAGCTGTGCACATTCATTCTAAGTTTATCATCAAGACTAACACTGTTTTTCCTTTCATGACTAATACATGTATCAGTGTCCAGCTTTACTTGCTATATTGACCATTGACAATACTAAAATCTAATATACATCCCAGCTGAGTTTTCCTTCCATCACTGAATGAAATGAATTGCATACACAGAATAAGTATTATATATTTTCATGTCTTCATTTAACAATGTAGGAATACCTGCTGTTTTGTAATTATTTAGATTTTTATTACAGTATTTCTTATCTATAACTTAGCAGTCACTGTGGGAAAACATTTTGACATGTTATTTCTGCCTCTGCTATTATTCTATAGAGAAGATCTTTGACCATTATTAAAGCATGGACTTATGATGGATTTACTACTAGCCTTTTTTTTAGCATGACTTTTTGTTTTATCTTACACTAAGCTTAAATAATGGCATGATTATATGTGCATGCACAGTACCCATGTCCATAAAGGTATGTCAGTTGCAGATTTCAGTAAAAGAAAAATATTCTTATTGCTGTACATACTATAACTTTTTTTTTTTTTTTGTGGACTTAAATCAAGACATATTTGTTTTATAATAGAAAACATAATCATTAAAGTTATTGAACACTGTGAATTATATTTTGTCACTGTACAATGTTTAGCTGACTCATGACTTAACTTCTTGGCTTACCAATCAAATGTTCTTTTGATGGTAATTTTACACATGCTTCCTATAATTTTTCAGCAAATTAAAGCTGCTGAGCGTTATCTCAAGAGGATTGAGTACCATCTGAGTAAACTGGAGGACCTACAGGATCAGTATACTCTGCATCAGAAGCTGAGAGATGGGGTAAGCACTTCTTTTATAACAACATATTCTCGTTTTACTAAGTTAATTTTCTTAAGGATGAGTCTTGTTGTAAATCTGCCCTGTTTTGTTGTTGTGTGGTCAGCTGACATGGGAGAAATGGGTGATGTGTCATTGGCATCAAGGCTATCCATGATGGGAGGTTCTGGGGGAAACTTTCTCCACCTGGGTTCCTTGAAGTCTTGATGTAATAATAATATCTTCCTTCTTTTTATTTTTAGTAAGTTGTACAGGGAAAAGGGGTTACTAGCCCATTGCTCCCAGCATTTTAGTTGACTTTTACAACACGCATAGCTTACTGAGGAAAGATACTTATTCCACTTCCCCATGGATATGAAAGGATAAGTAATAAGAACAAGAACTATTAAGATAAAATCAAAGAAAACTCAGATGAGTGTGTATACATAAATGTGTACATGCATGAAGGTTTGACCTAAGTGTAAGTAGAAGTAGCAAGATGTACCTGAAATCTTGCATGCTTTATGAGACAGAAAAGACACCAACAATCCTACCATCATGTAAAACAAAAACAGTGGAACCTCTACTTACGAGTTTAATCCATTCTGTGACCTTGCTCACATCTGGATTTGCTCGTTTGTAGTCAGTTTTCCTCATTTAAATTAACTGAAATGGAATTAATCCATCCCAGTGGAATTCCAGGCACGACAAAATACTTGAGTATTTCCCTAATATGAACTCTGCGACTTATTTATCTATCGCATTTCATCTAATATGGCATAACAATATTAACCCTTTGAGGGTCGACAGGCCCTCTCCGAAACTCGTTGTCAGGGTCGGCCAAATTTAAAAAAAAAAAAAAAATTATTTTCTCTTATGAAAAGATAGAGAATCTTTTCCCGATCATAAGGACACCAAAAGTTTGAAATTTGATGGAAAACTTACGGAATTATGCTCTCGCAAAGTTAGCGGTCTCGGCGATGTTTACGCATCGGCGATTTTGCCCACTTTGAGCCCCATTTTCGGCCAATTCCACTGTACTAGTCGACAAAAAACATGAATATTTCGCTAGAACTCCATTTTTTCTATCGAATGGGTGCAAGAAACAACCCATTTATGAAATTCAACTATCCAGTACAGTGGTTAGAATTTAGCAATTTTGCCAATTTCACACAAATTTCAAAAGATGCCAATTTCCGAATAGGGTCCAGAATAAACAAGAAAGACATTCCTGGCACTAAAATGACATTTCCTCTGGTCATTAGTCACGTCTCAAGGCCCCTCTTTTATTCTTTTGCTTTCCACTTTGAATTTTTATTCTCACAAAAAATATAAGATTTACTGTTATGCAGACTACTGCATTAGTGTAAAAAATGGTATAAATATTATTGGTGCACTTGTGAAAGAATATTAGACTCACCAGTTGACGTGTATTGCACGCTTGGCACGATTTGTTTACTTTTGAAATTTGGTAAAAATCGAACATTTCTGCTACTTTGAGCTCAATTTCAAGGTATCTTTCATTGTAAAACCAGTCAAATCATCTCAATTTCTGTTATATCCCTTAGAATGAATGAAAATGTCATGACATTTTTGGTAGTGGAAGTGGAGGCGGCGCACAGGGCCATTTTTCCTGCTCCTGACACATACCTTCCCAGCTTTATTATAACAGAAAATGGAGTGTTTTGTAAGGCAGATCTATTTAATCACTACATATTTTAAAGAAAAACAATAATAATAAAAATAATTGTAATAAATAATAATAAAAATAAAAATTTTACCTTGGAAGAATGCTGGCAAAGGTTGACGAGGTAGAAGAGATGCTGGCACGGGCATATGCTTCGGGAAATTTCTTTTCTTTTTGTCTTTTTTCTATCGTTAATCATAATAATACCCCTTTTAAGGGTACACTTTTAATTTACACTCTTAATGTACACCTTAATGCACGTCAAGGGGGTAAAAGGGAGTTGTTGAGGGGGTTTGGTATTTATAAGATTAGAAAAAAAGTAGGATGACTTAGAGACGTATAAATCTGTTGGGGAAGGAACAGGGTGGGGGTCACCCTCAAAAAGGGGTTGGAGGGCGGGTAAAGGGGTTTTGTGGGCGGGGCGGGACAATCAGAAAACGCCAAACGTTTTAGATGGAGTGAATGGATAGAATGATTTTGGGCCCTGACGAGCTGTTGGAGTGTGACAGGGTAAATTTGTGAAGGGTTTAAAGGGAAACGGGTTAGTTGGATTTGAGTCCTGGAAAGGGAAATTGCGGGCCCTGCATTTTAACCCTTAACCCTTTTCGGGCCCAAAGGCCCAAATTGGAGTCACGCCCAGGCCCAAAGAATTTCAAAAAAAAATTTTGTTATTTTTTCTTATGAAATCGTAGAAAATTTTTTGTAAAGGTAAAAAACAAAAATAAAAATTTGGGGGGAAAAATTGACAAATTTTGTCCGCGAATTTTAAAGTGTCGCGAAATTACGAATCGGCGATTTTGCCGATTTTACCCCTTTTTTGGGCCAATTACATTATTCCAATCAACCAATTTTTGTATTTCACTAGTATTACTTCTATCACGATTGATACAAGAAATCCCCAAGTAAACTGTTTCAACTACAAAAAAAAAGTACGGAAAATTGTTTTTTTGGGCCCAATTTAACACAAAGTTAAAAAATTTTCCAATTCAAAAAGGGTCCAAATGAACAATGTAGGCATTCTTGGCACTAACTAAATTTCCCGTTCATTATTATTTTGGGGTTTCAAATAATTCCATTTTATTTTTTATTCACATAATGAATTTTTTTTTAAAACCCAAAAAATAGAAGATTTACTGTTAATGCAAAATAAAAATTTTAAAAATATATCCCAATTTGTGAATGTATAAGACCCCCATGACGTGTAATAGACGTGGAGGTCGTTTTTTTACTCTTGAAATGGGCAAAAATTTAACTTTTTCTGCTATTTTGAGCTCAGTTTAAGCCATTTCCAGTAAAAAACCCAATAAAAATCACTCTATTTCTGAAATAGCTTCCTTTTTATCAAATAGCCCAAAAAATCCAAATCAACTATAAAAAAATACGAAAAAACACTGCAAAGTTGCTGTTTTAATCAAAAAAATGATGATTTCATTTTTTTTTCTCTTAAAAACACATGTGCTGCGGCTTTTTTAATGTGGTGCACACAACCACAAGATGTTTTTCCTCATATCAGGCCCAAATGTCCACTCACATTTTTATCAGAGTGAGCTGACTCATGGGGTAGACTACGGTTTGGCCCTGAAGAAAAGCCGTAGATCTCGGACGGCCCCTGAAAGGGTTAAGCGCCAAAACTTAGATCTACGTTTTCACGTGTAGTGCTCCGACCTTGATTTTCTCCATAAGAAAAAGGTAAAAAAAAAGTAGATCTTTTTTGGGGAGCACTACCGAGCAAAATGTCCGTTTGGACATTTTAAGGGGTTAAAAGGGGGTTTTGGGAATTGGCAGTTTGGGGGGACATCAAAACTTTTTGATCTGAGCGCCCTGAAAAAGCGTGATTATGTATGAGTGATGGTAAACATTTGAATAATGTAAGTTTTTTTTTTTTTTTTTTTTGGGGGTTTTTTTCTTTCTTTTTGGGTCCCCCCTGCCTTGGGAACAATGGCTGAAATTTTAAAAAAAAAAAAAACCCTTAATTCTAAAAAGTACATATACAAGGTATCAGGCCTATTACATCTTGACATACATAGAGAAGCCACTTATTATGCAGAGCATTTTGGGAAAAATTAGGTCATTTTTGTCCCAGATGTGCCCCCAAACCATCAACAAACTCCCAGGACCAATTTTACTGATGGGGAATGTTACAAAAAACGCGATTCTAAAGCTTAAGATCTCCAGTGAATACTAGAAAGGACTCCCCTTCGCATCCAGCCGTTACTGGGTTTTCGTAACAAGTATCAAAAAACCTTGCCAATTATAAAATTAAATTTGATGGTTTAAATGTCTTTGGATTAAAAACTGTAGCTACTAAACTGAGAAATTAAAATTTTAATTTAATTTAAAAGTAGTAAGTTGTTAGAGGTATATTATCAAAAAAATTTTAATTACGCAACAAAATAAAATCAATCTCTCGGTTAAATATTATTGTGCTGAAAGAAAATATCACTTTTAAAATATTAGTCCGTCGGGTACTTAAACATTTAATAAGATATTACAAATATGTACAAGTGGTGTTCTTTAAATGCTTTTAAATATTTAGCTAGTCTCAAACTAATTAGACTTAAAAATGTTTACAAAGCCCTCAAAAAAACTAATTTTCTTGACCGATCAACCCGAACAGTCTGCTGAACAACAAAGAATGCTAACCCAATAGCAATGCAATTGCGACTGGACACAACAAACAAGGAGAAAAAAAAACGACACTAAGTGGGGCCCCATCGCAGATCCTCCAAAAACATTTACAAAACCCCCAAATACTAAATTTTTGTTCAAAAGGGAAAAAACTGTGACGTGACAATACACGGAACCATTTAAAAAAATTAGGTCAAAAGCTATAGCAAGGCCTAAGATTTTTCAGAGTGTCAAATGACACAAAACCCTCAGTACAAACGTCGAAAATCACTGTCTTTAAATTTTCTGGAAAAAAGTTCTACAGAACTAACAAGAATAATGAACAGACAATCTGTCCAAACCGTAGCGAGCCCTCCAGAAACCCCGACAACAATTTTCCAACCCAGCAAGCGAGCTCTAGCAGACGAATATTTTACAAAGGGGTGAGGACACCCCCCCCTCGATCACGTATGCTACTGGACAACGCAGCTCAGAAGCCGGCAGTATAACGAGCGACAACGAAATTCAGTATTTTGACAATAAAGCCTAACTGGCACATTTTTATACATCCTAAAACATAAGCTAAATAAATATAAGTCAAATAAAAAAAAAGTCATACATTTCGTTTGTATTATCGCAAATTAAGCAATATAAAAATTATGAAAAGAAATATCTTACTATATACAAAATAATCATTGTAACCCATTCAGGGGGTTGCAACACCCCCCCA